GCTTAGGTAAAAGAGGCGTTGCTGTAGAGTGAATGGGGGAAGCTAAAAACACAAGAGTCAAGTCCAGCAAGAGAGAGAGAAGCAACCAGCTTAACCATTCAAGCAGGGCCGGCTTTAGGCCAATTCCACCAATTCCCCCGAATCGGGCCCCACGCCTAAGAGGGCCCCACACCCAGTGGCAGGGCTGCCCAGAGTGGGGGACAAGTGGCAGAGAATCCCTTCCCTGGCTAGAAGCGCCTTTTTAATTTTTACTCACCCAGCAGTGCTCTGGGTCTTTGGCAGCACTTTGGCGGCGGGTCCTTCACTCACTCCAGGTCTTTAGCGGCACTTTGGTGGCGGGTCCTTCAGTGCCGCCGAAGACCTGGAGCGAGTGAAGGATCCGCCGCCAAAGACTAGGAGCGCGGCCCGGTGAGTACAAGCCCCACGTGTTTTTTTTACATTTTTTTTAAGTCATCCCTGTCGGGGCCCTGTTGAAACGGTTGGAATCGGGCCCCGCACTTCCTAAAGCCGGCCCTGCATTCAAGCTATTTATTGAATACTAGTGATCACTAACATAACGTACATTATTAAAGGTTAATACCTAAGGTGGAATTGAAAACAGAGAGAGAGAGAGAAAGAAGGGGATCTCACCGCTCCCTGAAGCTTGAACTGGTGGGGGTTCCCAGGTGATGGTGGTAGCTCAGGGTCCTGAGGACAGGAGACAGGCAGACCCCCCAGCACGATCAGTCAGGAGATGGAGTCCCAGTGGAACTGATGCAGAGCTTGGGTCTATGCATCAGAACACTTATTTGGGGATAGCTAGGGGGTTTTGTAGAGAAACAACAATGGTTCAAGGGAGAGCACTAGATTTGTTTATGGGTAAACTGATGACTCAAGGGTTTTCTTTAGGCTAGACAATAGGAGCTGATCACTCTTGGCTATGGGTGGTGTTTTCTTCCAGGGAGATCACAATGCAACTAGGCTGCTTCAGTATTTTGGATATCAATCAAGGATTCATTACTAGAATTGGTCTGATAACTGCTGAGCTGGGTGTGGGCAGGCGTACGTTCATTAACATCTGGAGCAGAGATTCCCAGGATGCAGTGCTTCCCTGCTTTTTCTGGTCCTAGAGTACAGGGCGGTTCTCTGTTCTCCATTCTGTATGCAAATTTAAATGCCTCAATCTTGTCACCCTTGTCAGGAGGGGTCTAGGTGTGTCTTCCAACGCCCTTCATTGCTCTCTGCAATTCTTTTCTCTGATGTGTTTTGGTTTAAGCAGAGGCTGGTGGTGGGGAGGTGGGGGTATCTTTCATGAGTCAGACAGGCTGGATACTGCGCCCTGGTTCCCCGAGAACACAAAGCTGACTGGTATCGGGGGGAAGAAAGAAAAAAGCAGAGCACGGGTTAACTTGGCACTTTATCTAGCTTCGTGTGACGATAAGATGCTGGCCCTGGCCCAAAGTCATGGGCTTGACGAGAAATCTACAGCTGCCCAGTTGTGAGAAGAGGAGAACTAGGTGGAGCAAAGCTGCAAAGATAGCAGTAAAAACAGAGTGAATGAGGCGGCGACGGTGAAGGCCAACAGACGGGAAAACAAATTCTCCAGAGTCGGTGTGTTGTGGACAACCGAGAAGGCCACAGCAAGCCGATTAGGACTGGTACAAAGAGCACCAGGCACAGAGGGCCCTGGACAACTGATCAACTGTGGCCCAGGCATATTGGTAACAAAAATCTGTCACAGTTTTGGTGGAGAATTGCGGAGGTGGGGGGGAGCCCTGTGGAACACACCAACTGTTCTGCCCTTGGTATTTCATGTTTGCTCTCTCTGGCATTGTTGGTATTGCATGTTGAGGATTTTATGATAAAGGTGGCGCCCACCCTCAGCCGTTTCATCTGTGAGAACCAGAGAGACGTTTAGCATTCCTCTCTCCACGCCGGTCCCCAGGGTAGGGTGTAGATAGGTACAACCCCGGCTGTAGAAGTCCCGGGTGATAGAAGGGAGGAGGATTTAGCGATTCTCGCTCTAAGGAAATAATCCTTGGCTCATGTGCCCTCAGCCATAGTGTAATAATCCCTGGGGTTCCGTGATGGAGCTTCAGAGGAAGGTGCATTCTTGGCAGGATTTGTTAGACCTGTATGCCAAGTATGAAAAGCTGAAGAGCAAAAACCTAGGGGCAGCTGTGGGTTAATTTGGACTGCAGCAGCCATGTGGTATCAAATGCTGTTAGGACAGAAAGAAGAGTTGGGAAGAAGTGAAGAGGTGTGTACCCGACAGCTGGTGGGGAAATTGAGCAACTGAAAGCGCAGATCACTAACCAGGCAGCAACCCAGGCCTACGCCCAGGACAAGTTGCAGGCCTT